GGGCCAGCCGTATGTCACACCGCCACAGGCCGGGCCTTTTGTTATTAATTGAATCTGGCCCAGTGCCGAAAGTGACAGTGGAATGAGCAGAGGGTCATGTGATCATTACTACAAACTTGAAAAGGAGAGTTTGACCCAAGACCGCACACTAGTGTCTTCACGGTTGATGTCAGACGGGTTGCATCCCCGCTGACTCCAACATTTCAGTCTCAGTTCATTATATGAAACTTTCCAGGGGTCCAAAAAAAAAATACATCCAATGTTGTTACCATGGACAGTTTTCTTGAAACTTTCCCTGTAATGTTTATCGTGGTTTGATTGTTATCAGTTGTTTTCTTTTAAAGGGATACACAGAAACGACGGGCCTGATCTGGAGAGAATGAGCAAAAATGGATGGATGGTTCCTAATCGATCCTGATTGCAAAATCCAAAATCTCGCCGCAGACACTCGGCTCCGCTCTAAATCCCAACACTCCTCTGAGCCCTCACTGCTCCTTCTGGTTCATGCGTGATGTTCTCTTTTGGTCAGTGCTCCTGCAAAGGAAAACTTGTCTCCTCTGATTTATGACTACGGACTTGAAAAAACAGTATTTTATTTACGCCATGAAAGATTTATTCTGCTTTTGCTCTTTCTGTCACACCTAAATGTTTCACATCATCAAACACATTTTAATGTCAGATAAAAATATTCAGAGTAAACACAGACAGCTGTTTAAGAAAATCCGAAACCCTCTGACATTTAGTGTGACATCGCTCTGCTGCCCTCAAACATATCATGAAGAAAATACGAAAATATTTTGAAAACAAACTGAAATAGATTAAAATCTGCTTTTACAATAAAAGGCTACAGATATTTCTAATTTTAAATGATAGATAGATAGATAGATAGATAGATAGATAGATAGATAGATAGATAGATAGATAGACAGATAGATAGATAGATAGATAGATAGATAGATAGATAGATAGATAGATAGATAGATAGATAGATAGATAGATAGATAGATAGATAGATAGATTTATTTCACAGTTTGAGAACAAAGAATGAATTTGCATGAAATTATCATTTAAAAAAGGTTAATATCTTGGATTTCCTCACACAAGGACACCCTGTTGTTAAGTCTGTTCACAATATTTACGGCGATGTTGACCAGACAACGAGGCTCTGCCAAGGTTTTCATCCTGTAACTCACTGTACGTTTTGAAATGCTCTCGACTTTCTTTATATTAATTAATCCCGTGTCCTTCTGTAACATTGAACCTCCTCACCATATGAAGCCAAAATACTCCCATCTGCAGACTTACTTGACTTGGTTCCTGTTTTGACTCTTATGTTCGTCAGATGTGGCGCCTTGGTTTACCTTCGCACGCTCAGAGCGGTTCTCTGTAGACTGATGTTGACTTGTCCAGATGATGACTTGCATATATTGGTTTTGTCCTGTGAAAAGGTCACTTGTAAACTTTAATTGCTGTGACTCCGCTACTCAGACTGTGTTTCTGCATTAATGCTTTCGGACGAAGCTGCACTTCTATTCCTTAGTCATCCAATCCTTCCTCGGCGGTAATAAAAGATTTCTGACTAATAAATACAGTAACGTCTCCTTTGACATTCATTTCACAGTTTTCTTTGAGTTTCGGATTTCTAGTTTCATATAATGTTTAAATGTGTAAACTGAAGTTTCAATTCGCCTGCATGTGAAGCCTTTGCATTTGCTCTATGCCATCTTTTCTGTCCTTGAGATTAATTTCTCATGAGAGAAAAAAAAATCTAATTTCTCTCCTCAAAATTAGCGTCTTGTTTGGCATTTTGAAGTTGAATGTTTGCGTGAAAAAACATTTTATGTCAGTTCTCAGTGAATTCTGCACACACTCTAAGAACATTAACCTTTCATGTTAATACTTTTTGCTAAAGTTTTCAAGACGCACACTTACTACGACTTCCTAACACAATTCTACCATTTTCAGTCTCCTCAATCTCTGAAACTTGCAAGGTTGTCGGTTTGACCACTTGACCTTTCTTTCATACTTGTCATGTATCGTTTTGTCATTGTTGTGCTCAACCCAGAGGAGTTCAGAAGAACAGTGGAGGGGAACTGGTTTTTACAAAAGTACCTGCAAAGTGTGGCGCACATTTATTTTCCTCCAAAACTTTTTAGGACCATTTTTCACTGCAGGTCTCTGAGGAAAATGGTACAAACTTTAGGATTTCTGTCCTGTTGGAAACTAAACCTCTGATATAAAGGCTGAAACCCTTTGCATAATCTTACCATGCTTCATGTCAGGCTTACTCTCTATTTATTTCCATCCATTAATCTTAATCAGCCTTCTCATCTCTGCTGTAAAAAAAAAAAAAAAGGATCACATTTCACTGTGGGTGTGAATTGTGGTGTACATGTACACATGTGTTGTACATGTTCCCATGGTGATGAGTACAACACATGTACTCCAAAACATTACCTGTTGGTCTCCTTAGTCACTGGATTTTGTGCACAGAGGACTGAATATGAAAGGCGCGTCTTGCCTTGCAGATTTTTATTTTAAAAACATGTTCAGTAGCATATATCATTTTCTTTCCTCTTCATAATTACTCTGCATGGTCTAAGACGATAAAATGTGTAAAAAAAAAATTGCAAAAGGGAAATTAACGCTTTGCTGTCTCAGTACATTTTAGGCAAACCGGGCTCCTTTGCCGCCATCCTCATGCTTCCTTCTCAAGTGTTGTGATTTTTATTTTTCCTCTGTTTTTGCCAAGGCAACCTGCCTGTTCTGGGGAAAGTAGGCCATTTGTGCTAATGACTGACAGTGGATTTGTGTGACACTTGATGTCTGCCACATATTCAGTGGTTTATTTCTGGATCTTTAGCGCATTATCTGTTAACATTGTTTTTGTTTGTTGGTTTTACTTTGGGGTTTTTTTTGTTTTGTTTTTTTGTTGTACTGTTTTTTTTCCAGATGAACCTTGTGGCTCCTCTGGTCTACAGACAGAGATTAGCATCTGTCTCCCGTCCACAGCATTGTGGGACAGTTATGTAAGGCGGTGCTGTCGTGCTGCGCCCTGAACGGCTCGCCACGCTGATTGGTGCAACGTTATGAAATGTGACACAAGTTATTTGGTTGTCACCTTAATTATTTATATACACCTCTGCTGGATGTGAAAATTGGAGCACAACAACAGGAGTTGTTGTGCTCCTTCATTCTCTCGGCGCAAAAGTGAACATCAGGAGAGTGTCCTATGTGAATGTAAGAGCAGCAGATAGAGTATTTCTATTATTTATCGTTTTACTGCTTTAAGGACCCGATTTATAATTTATGACGTTATACGTTTGCGTGAGTTGTCGTTCCAAGAGGTTTTTTGTTTTTGCCGTAATTGAATTTGCCTTTAAAGGTGTTAGACATAATGCCTGGAGATTTACAGTATTCCCTACTTCACATATTGCACAAAGAACCTCTTCTCAACACAAATTGCCGCGTGGATTTATGCATCTCTCCCCGTCTGTCTCTTCTCACCAGATTACATGACAGCGTTTTGCACCAGGGTACCACAGAGAGCGTGTGTGAAATTTATTGGCGAGGAGTTCCTGCCTTTTGACGCTCGGGATGCGGCTAACAGATCTCTTGCCATTTCTCGTCTCCTCCGGCTCCTGTGCAATGCTGACCTTTTCCCGCCTCTGGCTGTATATTTAAACTGTGAGAACCATGGGAAATTTTTTTTATTAGCAACGCTCTCCATTTGTCTGACTTAATTCAGAGCTGCTGCGGATCGTGCCAAAGCGCGCTGCGTATTTACGGTCCTCCAGAGCAAACAAGGGCGCCTGTGATAAACCTCACCATCAACACCTTAGCGGGGGTTGATGTGCAGCGAAACGTTTCTTTAAACTGTCCTGGGGAGAAAAAAAAACAAAAAAAAAACTTGGGCATTAAACTGCAGCTTCTTTTTACAGATCTTATAAACTGGGATGAAATAAATGGAATGGTTTAATATGACTTCCTGTCGATACGAACTTCAGACTTTTTAGGACTTGTAAGGTCACACAACGACCAGAATGAGTTCATAATCACACAGAAACCTTAGATTTAGAAAGCATTCATATCCATTTACTTTTTTGTTCTTTTTTTTTACATTTACTCACATTACAACCACAAACTTAAATGTGTTTAACTGTGATTTTATTGTTACACATAGACCGGTATAAAATAGTGAACTGAAAAGTGTGGCATGCATTAAGCCCCCAAATAAGCTGCCTTCAGACGTCACACATGATCAGACAATGGAAAGAAAAAAAACTGGGCAAGAGGCCCAGAGTTACTCTAGAGAGAGTTACTGTAGAGATCTAAAGCCAAATTTAGCTTTTTTGTCATAAATTAAAAACACTTTGACAATTTGAATTTGACACACGGTGGTGGCAGCATCATACTTTTCTTCAGCATTATGTATGAACTCACTGAAAAAAAACCTGGTGGAGACCAAACAACACTCAGACTGGTTTAGAGATTCACCTTTAAGCAGGGCAACACTAAACACTAAAGTGTAATAAAATGATTTAGATCAAATAATATGCATTTGTTTTAATAGCCTAGTCAAAGTCCAGACCTAAATCCAATGGAGAATCTTTGCCAAGAAGAGTTGCTGGTTCACTTTAATCCCTTAGAGAATTTGAGACAAAGTTTTGGAGATGTTCAGTTTGGAGATGTTCAAAGTTTAAAGACATACCCTAAAACATTTGATGCAGTAGCATCAACGTGTGGTTCAAGAAAGCATTAATGTCACATTTTTTTAGATTGTTATTCATAAAAGGTGCTGAAAACCACACACACTTTTACAATCATGTGCAGCCCTGTGTTGTTGCATAAAATCCCCACCACAAAACTTTGAATTATCTGCATAATATGTGAGAATGTGTGAAAAAGTTCAGTGATTATGAACACTTCAGGCACTGAGAGTTATTTCTCACCCAGCCATGTTTCAACCTTCACTGATGTCTTTTTTTGTTGTTGTTTGTTGGTTTATTTGCAATTATAGATCTGAGTTGGGAGCTCAGAGGGTTCTCCAGGTGGATCTGAAAATGGAGAGCTTCCCACAGCCGACAGGCAGCCGCTGGATGGCCTGGCAAGTGGAGTACCCGGCCAGCCGCGCCATCACAAAAGAGGTCGAGACAGAGATTCGCCTGGCGCAGGAGGAACTGGCAGGCATTGTGCCTCTGGCCATGGTGAGTGATGTCTCATCCAGCTCAGTGGAGCATCAAAATACACGGCTCCTCTCTTCTTGCTCTGCATGTAAAATCAAGTATTTAAGTAGATTCAAGCACAAATTTATGCCCGGATCCTGTGCTCATGGGTTTTCATAACAGGGAAAAAAAAAAACTAAACTAAACTAAACTACCGATGGGGGATAAATTTGACAGAATGACATATTCAGGACACGGTCTTGTTTCAAAAGAAATACAAACGAAATCAAAATTATGCAGTGAATTTATATATGTTTAAAGTAACCGTAATACTACTACCACACACTTTGTTGTAGTTTTGTTCACATTCTTTAATTAGCAAATAAAGTAAGTATTTGTGCAGTTTATCCTCAAGCAACATCAAAAACACCGAGAAACACACCTGAAAGCTCAGGAATAGGATTAATGAAATGACTGAAGCGCAGTTAGATTATAAAACAATAACCCGGACAATATCCCGACTTCTGGTGCTTTCAGAGAACATCTGTCTCATGCCACGACACAGATGGAGCTTATTTTCCACTTAGTTGATCGACTGACCAAACTGGATTCTACTTAAGGTATCGCAGTGTAAGGGGAAAGTCACTTTGAAAACCAAGTTTTTGCTTCCGCTTTACCACTTTATGCTGATATGTCATATAAACCACAGTAAAATACACACAACACACATACATCCAGTCTTCACCTCTCGGACCTCTGCTGCTTTCATTAGGAAGGTAGAGGCGGTGATATCCTGCAAGCCGGTGCCCTGTAGCGTGCATTTAGGATCAGGGGCGGGGGGAAACGAGAGCGATGTGGTTTACCACAGGCCTCAGATTGGATCTGGTTTTAACCTGAGGGGGAAGCCTGGAGCCGTGTATCTTTCTCGGCAAGGCCCAGGGAGTCTGCCGCGTAAGATTCACTCTTGTAAAAGTTCACACAGGTCACCCTTCATGCGTTTCTGCAGCTTTGTTGCGCATCCCAGAGAACGCCGCCTATGGTGAGGAAGCGTACAGGTGAGCTCTGCGACAAACATCAGCTGCGTTGACGAAAAGAATAAAATAAAGGCACTGGGTTACAACAGTGCTGATCGCTAAAAATTAAAAGACAAAAAAGATTGTAATTATTTTTATTTTGCAACCTCTGATGTGTAGGCTAGAGACCCGACTGTTGTGTTATTCCCATTCTCCAAGTATAGCCCGTAGCTATGCGGATGATTGATGCCTGTGGGCGGCTGTTCCTGGATTTAGAGGAACACGAGGCATCTTCACCCACTGATCCATTCTCCGGATAATTGCAGCGGCGTCTCTAACGCTCCCGTATTATTCGACTTCCTTTTCATGTCACTGACGTAACACCCTGCTTTGGGTGCTCCAGGAACACAGAGTCGCTCCCACACTTTTAAAAATGACAAAAAAAATCCCCGGCAAAGATGATTGTGTGCGATTCTTTTCAAAAGGCTTTGTTCGACAACAGTAAAACGGAAAACAAAAATTTTTTGCACTTATTTTTGTATTTGTGTTGTTAATTTACAGTTGTGTGGAGCCCAAATGAGCGAAATATATATATATTTATATTTTTAAGACAGAACCTGCTCAGTCATTCTTTCTCACGCTGATGGTTCTGCTCATTTTACACAGCGAGCCATTTTTATTGCTCACCATAAATCATATGACTTTTTTTTTTAATCATAGCAGCAACAATCCGTCTCAATGAAATCAACATTAACATTATTTCCTGAACTTGGCAAAATCAGTTAGAGATAGGATGACTTAGATGGCAAACAGGAGGTAAAGATGATGTTCCTGTGTGTGTGTGTGTGCGTGCGTGCGTGCGTGCGTGCGTGCGTGCGTGCGTGCGTGCGCGAATTTTCTTCCTTTTCCTCCATTGGATTGGATTTATTCAGTGTGCAAACCTGTAAGCCAGTACAGCAGCTGAGGAAGGGAGCTATACTATTTCCTTTATTGAAAAAGATTTTGACAGCAGAGCATAATCTGATACTCTGCTCTGCAGTTGTTTGTAAATTATTTTTACAAGAACATCTCAGGCTATTAGAATATGTTCATAAAGTTTATTCATTTCAGTGATTCAATTCAATTACACACTAAACAGGGCATGGATCCATTTGGCCAATCAGTGAAACTGTATGTATATATATATATATATATATATATATATATATATATATATATATATATATATATATGTTTCTTACATTTTTATTAAAGTTATCAATAAGTCATGGTAGTGCAAATTGAGACAGTCTGGGCTCCTCCACCTCCCCCAAGACCTGAAGAAATTCACCACTGTGTCAGAAACGACCAATAAGAGCCAAGTGGAAGGTCCTAGCGCTGTCAATAAGCCTTGTGAGTGCGCTGCAAAATGTGCTAATGGCAGAGAAACAACTTACCGTTCCAGGAAAACCATGTGTGCAGATTCTGTGGGAATAAAACAACGCTTGCCTCGTTGGCAAACTCAAAGGCCAAGACAAAAGTCGGAAAGTTGGAGGATTGTTTGAAATCCGTAAGGCGAGTTGATGCAAGAGAGATTTGAGGGCAAAGCCAGAACAGACGCCTGTCACCAAACCTTTATCTTTAAGCTTAGCTTCTGCTCCTCTTACAAAAACATAAAGATACCACTTGAGGAAAGAACAACCTCTTAGACTGTTTTACTGGAGCACACCTCCTGTAAAGCAGTGCAGCATTTGACAATTCGAGAAATATTTTCAAGCAAAGCTTAAAGGTTTCTATCATTTTAAAGCAGTGTGTACTGTGCTGTGTGTAAATCGTGCTGTACAAATGAACTTGCCTTCCACTCAACTTCCCATTGACATGCTTAGATTTTTTTTTTTTTTTTTTTTTTTTTAACCCTAATTTTTGTAGAGGGTTTTTATTTTTTCAAGATCGGTTGTCAATTCTGCCCCC